AAACGAAACGATATAGGAATAATACCGCCCTTTACAAACACTGCCACCTGGGCATGTCTGTGTCAAAAATACATCCTGGACAAGGGTCACGAGGAGTTTGTCGACACATTAGAAACACTGAGGATTGAACAATTTGTAATGGCAGATCCCATATTTTTAGAAATTTCAAACAGAATGTGAACTTGTATCAATCGATGAGCTCATCTCGCGCCGCAAGCTGATATTTGAAACCCATCGTATCGAACCCCCTCCTCCAGTGGAGGAAGCCGACGGTGGCCTGGAGCAAGATGACGAAATCTATGAAGAAAATCACTCTCAAGAAAACTATGGCTCCGTCGTCAGTTCAAATGAAGCAGGTGACGATCGAGCCATGAGTGGAGGGTATTCCAGTGAATACTCACACACGCCATTGTGCAGTCCAAAGGCGGGGTATAGAGACGATATGTCCTCCACTGGGTCATACCAAGCCGATGATAGAGGCTCATTCAGGGAAAGTGCATCTCCAGATGCACCGGAGGATCCAGTCTCCCCTGATCTGAGAACAAATTACGAGTATCACGAGTTTCAGGATCGCCAAGACTCAAAACAACACTATTCGTAAGTTTTGTTTTATTTCTGCCAGCCATATCGACGAATTATTTCCTTGTGTAGCCTTTTTATTTTAACCAAACCAAGCAGCAAACCTGGCAAAAACTCCACAAGTGACAAACGGCGGAATCAACGAATCCAGCGAGACCGCAGACAGCAGATGGATTCTTCAACCCGCAAATCTGGTCAGCTCGATGGCAGACGCAATGCGCCATTTGACTGTCGAGGAGGACGTTCTGGTTATTTCAACCCCCAAGATCGACGAAAGCAAAAGCAGCAGCAGTTCAAGGGAAGTGCTAAAACAAAAGCCAAAAAAGTGCCGAATAATCGTGGGCGGCCACCGTACAATGCCATTTCAGAGGGCCATCTTCATGAGAACCATGATAATAGATGTGGTCTGGATGGCAATACCGGTCGCAGTCATAATGAAGACTCAAGTCAACCCAAACGTTCCCATGGCTATGCTGACATTCAACAAAGCGATCACCATCATCCCCATGACCAGGTTGATTTCGAGCATAACAGTCGAAAAAGGAGCAGGCAAGATGAGTCTCTCAGCGCACCTGAAGAACCCATGCGCCAAGAAGATGACATTACTCCAAGGATAAGGCGACGTCAACCCCATGTCGCAGAGGCCTACAGGTATGACTTGCATCAACCTAACATCCTTGCTATTTACTAACAATTTCTAGTCGACGATGGTGAAAACCTCTCTAATATATAGCAACTACCCGGCATCGCAATGCCTTTTCTCACTTGATATCCCATACCCGTTCTATAATCAACCATTGCACTCTCCTTTTTCCTTTATATCAGGGCCAATGGCCATTTTGATTTATATTTAGTATATTTAACGAAACTTGGTTGTTTGCATTGGGGGCATTTTGGCTTGCATCCAAATTTCCCCTTTTGGATTTTAGTTCTACATCCCTTTACTGTATTTTGGATATGACCCGGGAGAGAACAAAAACTTCGTTCCCCCGAATGTACCTGCTTCAATTTTTGTAGCCACAGGCGGGCCGTTCACCTCCCCTCATTATATCACCGCTTATTTTTACTCTTGTGTTATTTTTTTTTGGTTCATTGACGTCAAACTTCTTTCCACATGGGATCCAAGTTTGGTATGATTATCTATGTTATTATTAAAATCCTCACGTGGGCCGATGTCAACCACAGGAACTTTCCATACCCTCCCTACACAGCCGCTGCCTTCTGGTCTTGGACAAGGTTTTTCTTTTCTTTTCTTTTCCCATTTTTGGCCTTTTGGACAGGATTCATAAGTAAACACAGTGCATCGCCAGGCGACCACTTTTGTGTAACAAAAATTCTTTGCTGAAATATCTTCTGTGGACATATCTCATTCCACCTTTTGCAGGGCATGCAGACAGGTGAAAAGACAGACAAAGCATCCCTGCTTCCAAATCTGTCTTCTGCCTCGCTTTGCCAGGCAGAGTAAAGTCCGCAAGCGTTGCTTGTGTTTTATGTGCGTGTGGAGGCCTGATGTAGCGATTTGCGGATGTTGAGAAGATCCAAGGAATCTCAAGTTCGGTTGGGTTTTCTCAACAGTAGTGCTGATTTGTTCCAATCCATATGTTTTTACATACATTCTTCCTTCCAACCACGCGTCCATCCAATCCTTTTAAAGATGACGACAGACGGACGCAGGAATTTGTGTTAACAGATACGCCTTCTATCCCGTGGATGTGCCATGTCATACCACATCATGGAAAACATGGAACACATCCACCCCAGTTAGTCGATGGACTACCTCTTCCCTGGCCCTGGCCGAGGCCGTGGTCGTGCACTTTCTCGACCCACGCGCTGGGAGGATACAGCGATATACCCAAGCGCATCAATGGGATGGTAATCCCAGTTCGCTGGCACGGTATATTACTGATAATACCGCAATGTATTGTGCTTATACGTTATTTGTTCTTATGCGCAAAGCTGACACGTAATAGCAAGGCAAGGTGATGGTTCTGTTAAGCTACATCTTCCATCCGCACTACATCCTACTGGATGGGCGGGTTAAAGATTAATGCAGACAGAAGGTCATCTCCCCATGGTCACTTATTGGGATAACCTGAATTGTTTCTCAAAGGTATAAGTTAAGCTGGGTTATCGCTAGGCTGACAAAGTCGACTGGTGCCAAAAATAAAAATTAAAGACCCGCCACTTAAAATGGGGTTAGCTAGCTTCTGCCAGTGTGGAATCGGCATTGGGCTGACTCCATACGGCCATGGGAGCTCCAGTGATTCCTTTTTTTTTCTGTCCTCAGACTTTGCTGTCTTTAAGTTGGTATATATCAGTAACGAACTGAAGATGTAAGTTATGGTGGACAGACAGCAGAGGATCATGTTCATCCAGAAGAACAAGGAAAGAAGAGATGGTTGTTGTGCATGCACAACACGCTGCTGGTGTTCGTTAAAACACAAAAGCTGGCAAAAATAAAGAAAAATAAAAAAGACTAACCGCCTCAGATCTGCTTTCAATTTGGAAGGTCGTACTGGGAATCGAACCCAGGTCTCCAGAATCAGAATCTGGCGTGCTAACCGCTACACTATACAACCATGATTTCTTTGATGGCGAATACCAGAATAACTCTAACTGAAATTGAGTTTCCATCCTTACCCGTCCTTGTCCCCCGGTTAGGAAACTTTTTATCAAAAATGGCTGTGTCTGGAATGATTAAAGTCTATCTATGTTGAACGTTTCCATCCTCTTTAAAGGGGCGTGGAAAAGTTCCCTGCACATGATAAGAAACATATCATGAACAAAAGCATAAGTAAATTCATCACAGTGCTTAATGGAGACAGACATTGAGGCCTGCTGAAAGAATTTGTTCACCAGTGTCCAATCAACTAAAATAATCAGCATTGGTAGCAAGCATTGAGATCTGAGATTTTAAAATGCCACTATTATAAAGTTGTTTTCAGTATGGTAACCAAATTTTTGCAACTTTAAATTTCCATTGTTTTATTTCCCCCATACCATTGAGGGGCGAGCTGGAAAAAGTTTGTTGGAAAAACTACAAAGCAAGAGGTCGTACTGGGAATCGAACCCAGGTCTCCAGAATCAGAATCTGGCGTGCTAACCGCTACACTATACAACCTTGGCTTGCTGATAATTATAGCAAACCATTATTTTTCGGATGGTATTATAAAAAAAATACCCCTTAATTCCACACAGTACTTACCCGCTCATCATATAGTGTGCACAATATATCAATAATTGTTGATTTCTTGCTTCTTATCTTTTCCATATTGAATTTCAAGCGTAGCAATTAAATTCTAAGTTTGTTAATCGTCGGTATGCAGGTAACTAGCGTCGTTGCATCCATATTTCTAAATATGTGTTTTTATGTGCCAGCCCTGCGAGCTTGCCATTATTCTATATTCCAACACCGGCATAGAAAACAGGTAAATTCGTTTGCAGTTATCAAACGGCAGACCCCAGTCGCATCTGAATATCATGAAAGAAAATTTTATTTACTTCAAAATAAAATATCCACGCATGATAAAAGTTAAAAAAAAAAACATCAGGTCATCGTACCAGATGCGTCCTTTCATCATCTGGCTCTGTTCGATCGCCTTCCTCTTCATACTCATCCCCCGACTTATCCTTATCCTCCCCGCTCTCTTCCTCTTCGGATTCTTCCTCTTCGCTCTCATACTCCGTGCTTCCCTCCTCCGTACTTCCCTCCTCTTCCTCCTCTTCCTCATCCTCCTCCTCTTCTTCTCCAGGCTCTTCACTCTCCTCACTACTCTCCGCCAGCCAATCATCAAGCGTCTTCTTCCCACTCCCCACCAACCCCCCATTCAGTCCACCTTTTCCCGCCTCAACACCATATTCCTTCAGCGCATGATCCAACCTCTCCCCAGCCGTAAGATTCCACTTCTCGATCCCCACAGCCTTGCCAACGTCATCTTCGCGGAGTTTAGGATCGGGTTCCTGACCAGCCTTTACCCAGTCAGGAAGCGGCTCATAACCCCGAAGACCGTGAATGCCAACCTCAGGTCCTAAGACCAGCGTCGATGTGCCCAGGAGCAGATCCTTGCACGTTTCGGATGGGGATGGTGTGAAGGGGACTGGTTTGGGGGCGAGGAGGAGGAGGCTGGCGAGCTGTGTCGAGCTTGGGACGGCGAGGAGGGATTTATAGAGGCGGGTGCGATCACGGAGGTCGTAAGAGGTGTCGTAGCGGGCTAGGAGGAGGATGTATTGCCACAACAATGCGATGGGATCTTCCTCCTCCTCTTCCTTGCTTGGGGGGTGTGGGGTGTCGTAATTATAACCGTGGTTTTGGTCATCGGTATCATTGGTCGTACGTTCGGTGTTTTGGGTTTTATGGAGAAGGTGGTGAAGATAGACCTTCGCGCCTAGGAGGACGATTTGTTGCTTTGCAGCCTCGGATTCGTCCGCAAAGCCCTTTGCCAAAATTCGTAGGACATCTGGGGCAATGTTGTTGCCCACATCGACTCCTGCAAACTCGCCCACCAGCCATATTATACTGGCCCTTGCATCGGGGCTGGTTGTCGTGTCTAGGTGCTTAGCTAACATAACAACTGTCTTCTTGTGCGATGCTGGATCCTGTTGGATAAGATGCCTAATGACAGTTAGAGCTTCTGAGACAAGGTTATCATCTGCGCTAGATATTTGACTCAGGAGAATGCGAAGACATCGTGCGGCAGTGGAAGCGTCACTCTGTGAACATCTACCAATTGCCCGTACGCTTTCACGAACGAGGTCAGGCTGCGATTCATTTGATGAAAAGTGCTCTAGTTCACTAAGAATGATGCCTTTAAGATGCATCCCGCAGTGGGGGAAGAGGATAGTCAGGATTTCTAATTTTAACCTCCATATTTGCGGAACATCGGACGACCGTATTAGGAAATGAGAAGTGTATTTCACGAAGGGTTTCGGATCAACGAGCACCACACAGATGATATTATAGAGCGCAACATGTTGAATATCCTGCGGGCTGCGTAGTAGGGCGACCAGTGGTCCAACTCCGGCTTCTAGATGCGCAGGCGTTCCAACATAGAGAAAGAGGCAGACGACGCTCACTATTACAGCGGCATTCCGGCTCTGTAGTAAAGCCTTACACGTTTTGAGAAGGAGATCGAGATCCGGGTCGATTATCAGGACCTCTTCGCCATACTCCTGAGCTTCTCTACTGCCTTCCTCCTCATCATCATCATCATAAAATTCCTTTGAAGTGGTAATCCGTATTCTTTCTGTTCTCCTAGGAAAGCATTTCCTGGCATATATCACCATTAATCGTAGGGTTGCAAGTTGACCCCATTCATCCATATCCACTAGCTTCCTAACCAGGCTCCGATAATGTTTATGGATTAGGTCGATCCGATCGGGACACACTTCAAGAAACGTCGACACCGCAGGCCCCGCGACAAAATACTGGCTGTCCCCTAGGAGCGTAGAAAGGCATTCCAAAAGCTGAGGTAACGTAGACGGGTCTAAACTGTAGCATTTCGGGATGGCTAGGGCGGCAGCTTTGCGAACATGGGGACTCATATCTCCACACCCGCGTTTAATGGCCAACGAGACAATTTGGCTAATCACGGGAACCCTGATTCCGGACATTGTCCGCAAAGCCATGGCGCGCACTTGGGGGTTCTGATCGGTCAGGGACTTTTGAATGGCGTTGATCGAAAGGAGCGCAAGGTCAGGTTCGGCCTCGGCATGGTGAAGCAGGTATATATAGACCAGTTTCTTAACCTCGATGTTTGGATTTGCAACGTTCTTCACAACCGATGAGAAGAAAGGGAGACACGATTCGGCCCTGTACATTAACTGAAACCCCCGGGACGTCAGTGTTTTTCTTCGTCATTCTAGAGCTCATAAAACCTACTGATATGACTTTTCGAAGGCCGTCTAATATGTCCCTATCACTCCTGCTGTCGAGGAGCTTCTTGATCTGCGAGAACGTAGCGGGACGGTGCGAGGAGGTCGACCTGAACGCGCCCCTGGCATTGGTGGCGCTTTGAGCTGCTTCGATAGTGAGTTCCCGAGCTAAAGACACTGGGTAAGATTTACGGATGCATTATATGTGATCAAGGGGACTCGATACTAAGAAATCGAGAATATATACCTGTTTCTAGCATCGAGGAGATGCGCGAGATAGACTCCATCTCTTAACCACCTCCAGTAGCTGCCCGCACCCACAACTAAAATCATGGAACGGGAGTCGGTGGAGGGTGGAGGAGGTGGGGGGTAAGAGCGTAGGTATCTGTGGTGAGGAATAGCCCGATATGATGCTTGTTGTCTGAAGGTTGCCGAGGGTTGGATCTGGCTCAGGGATCTGAGAAGGAAGCTTTTGGTGGCGCGCTGCCTGCCCTCCGCGCTAAAGCGAACCAACCAACCACCAAAACCTGATGGAATCAACAGGCAGCGCGGCAACCTAATAATTATTACCATTACTATATTTCAAGACATTAAGCTATGATGTATCGATACGCCGCTTTACTGCACTCTCTTCACCAAAATATACGGGGATAGATTAAATGCTACTGCCATGAAGTGCATAATATCTCTCAGATAATCAACTAGTTACCTTGCGAAGAGGAACAAGTCATCCTCTAGGCTTGTTTCTATATAGTGTTATATAAGCTACATCCCTCCTCGATATGGTCTTTAATCCCAACCCGACCATCCAATCCTTCGAAACCGCAGTGGAATTTGTGGAATATCTGCTTTACAAAGACGCCTCTGCAACTACGCTAATTGTATGCTCCACCAGAGATGTCTTCATACATCAGCTATGCGCTTCAACTGCAGCCCCCACATCCGGAACGCAACAACATCCAGATGCGTTCTCTCAGGGTGACCATGAAGGCAACAGGAGTCATTTTCTCTCTAGCCCTGGACTCTATAAAACCATCGGGGCAATAGCCGCGTCTCAAAGGATCACACTGGAGTTTTGCCCCAGTCTTGAGCATTTCCGTGCCTATCTGTCTACTTTCTCCTCTCGCCGGCCAGGATCTTCTTCCAAGCACGCAGATGCGCTCCGCAACCAGAGCATGCCCGCGTTGGCTGTGCTTGGCCTTGTTGCTCTTCACTACGATACAAGGGAGTTTTCTGCCCAGGGAATTGCACAATCCCTTGCGCTCACTGTGGAGATTGCCGCTCGGGAGAATGTGAACCTGACCCTATGCGAGAGCACGGTTGTCGGTCAGGAAGATTCCAGCGGCAGCAGGTTGTGGAATGTCGATGTCCCGTTGCTAAGCGGGCAGACCAGGGCGACGGGGACGGGGACGGGGGGGGAGAGTGCCCACGCAGGTCGCACCGTGAAGGTGAAACAGGTTGCGAAAAGATGGTTTGACTTTGTGTGATTGAAGGAAAAATTGTGAAGAAAAGGAGAGACTATATTTGAATTTTATGACGCCCGCCTCGAGAGTTCCTCCATATCTATGCCAGAAAAACACCCAGTCCAGAACCACCGAAAAAGAAAAAAAAAAAAAAAGCATCAAATTAACCATAAGGGTATCCTAAAACGACAAACCCCAATCGACCAACTCCTCAAAGCCGAATACCATTTCGCGGTGACCCGACAAGCCCAATGATTAGAGACATTTTTCCATCTCTGTGATGTAGAGCTTGATATGAGACTCGAGCTTTAGATACTCGTCGTATGCACTGTGGATTTCGTTTTCGATATTCTCCTTCAGATCAACCATCTGCAGCAGCCAAGTTAGTCGAGGCCATTCACACAACAAGCACAAACAGTCCTCTGATCGGTTCTCTGGCACGGTACGTCACCTTTTTTTCTGTCTGTTCGATCCGAATCCTCCGCCGTTCCATGTCCCGCTGTTTCTCCACGCGTTCCTCGCGAAGCTGGTTTTGTATCTCCCTCAGTTCTTCCATCCGCGCTTGTGCTAACTCCTGCTTCTCCCGGCTGCTCTTCCGTAGCGCTTCTGTCCTCTCATGCCAACGAGCCAGTTGCCGTTGTAGAAGCTTCTCAGTCTGAGCCACTTCCCTGACAGTATTTCCCCGCTCAGTGAGCGCATCCCTGTTTTTAATCGCTCGAGCATCTTCCTCTTCCTCCTTTTGTAACTCTTGAGCGATATCTTCTAAAACTTTAACACAACTTTGAACATCATTCGCAACAACATTAAAAGTGTCCATTGATGTTTGCAGGGCACGCATCCTTCTTTCCATACTATCAATCTGGGATTTATCCCTCATTAGATTGTCCGACAATTCTGTTAGCGAAGACTGGAGCGACGCTGGGCTCTGTAATACATATGGCCGTAGTTTCTCACTCTCCTGTCGGGTTTTTAAGATCTTCTCTGTCATCTCTTCGAGATAAGTTTGCTTCCGGGCCTTCTCCAGCTTAACTCGCTCAAGGGACTCGGCGATTCGTTCCTGACTTCGCCTCAATTCCAACAGTCTAACTTTTAACTCGTCGTTCCTTTTAATCTTCTCGTTCGCGGGTCCTTCCATAGCCTTTTGCTGCCTCCTCATCTCCTCTAGCCGCTGTTGCATTTTCTGGTTCTCTGCATATAATGCCTCAATACGCGCCTTGATTGTTTCAGATTTACTAAAATGTTTGTCAATCACGGTGGTTTGCGTCTCGCGAAACCGGACAAAGTTAATGAGGTAGGAGAAAATTTTAACAAGCCGGTCGTGTGTAGGTTTAGTAAGATCTGTAAATGCGAAGTCATTGACACCGCACTACAGACGTGTTAGATGCTATGCTTATCTTTGCATAATGCAGGGGGTTCGAAGGTGGCAAGATAAGGGGGGAAACAATGTTTCATACCTCAACCATCAGCTTGCGCAGAGACATAAAGAACCCCATCAAGTTGCGGGTGTCTGGCGGAATAAGATCGACATGATCAGGGCATATATCCTCCGCCGCTGCGCGCATGGCAGGCTCAACAGTCTCACGGGTAGCGTTCATCAGGAGCTCCGCGAACGATTCGAAGACCAATTGAATTTGCTGTGGATTCGGCTTGGCTAGGTCGCCGACGGAGAATGGGACGCCAATGTCGTTGATACATCCAGCGATTTCCCTGTCAGGCTTCGAGAATGAGTGTTAGTGATGATTGAGAGGTAGGTAATGTATACTTTAACGCAGTTATAACGGTGCCTGTTCCTGTGTAATCTCTCTCAAACTCACCAGCCGCATCAGCGCATCGCTGTCATCTTCCTTTTTCTTGCCCCGACTCTGTTGTTGATGGTTGCCATGGCCAAACTGCTGGCTCATTCGCGAGTTGTATGCCATAATGACGGTATAGAAGGAAAACGCATCAGCGATGTTTTCTAGAGTAAATATCAAAAAAATTATGTATTGATTTTTTCCGTTCCTAATATCGAGAATCGTTGTTGTTACCAGCAGCAGGCCGGACGGTTGGAATATGTTTTTGTTTACTTGAGGGAAACGATCGAACGGATGACAGCATGGGCACCAAAAGGGTTTAGCGTTGTGCGGTCAGAGGAGCAAAAATTGCAAACAGTGCAAACTATATGAACACTGCAAAACAGCCCTAATTCTCTTTACTTTTGGCCGTTGGGCTTGAACATCAAGCCATCCTCACGTTTTCCACCAGCCCGCAAAAGCTGGTGGATATTCTCAGCTTCAAACTTCATTATTGCCTGGGTCGTTGTGCAGGTATCTTAGCTCAATTGCACGGTGCATCCTGGGGTTCGAGATTTTACAGAGCTGGTTGAACATATGATATCTTTTCAGCCCAACCCATTTTTTTGAGATCGATTTAATCGCTGACTCACCCCAACTCCCCGCTCACAGGCCCCAACCCGCTTTTACATTTTGACAAAGAACTATATTTGTCAATTTTTCCTACGTGTGAGCGTTTCTTGAGCCATTTGGCGCAATCAATACCTTGGCCGGGGACGGACATCTTCGCCTTCAGCCGGCACCAAAGCAAATATGGCTTCTGAAACTACTTCTAAACCTTTCGAGTACGTACTGCCCTGGGTAGGAATTGTAGCTACTATATTGAGAGCATGGGCATTGAAATTCAGATTACAGCATCGTCGCCACATACAATGATCTCCTCCGTTCCGATCCAGATCTCACAATGCCAATCGCCGCCATCGAAGCATTGGTTCTTCTCTTGACTCACTCTCCCTCCTCCACAATATCGGAAACCCTGGATCTATTAGAAACGCATACGGGATACCTAAAACGCTCAATACCAAACCCGATTGGTCTTTCTGCCGGCACCGATCTTTTCCAACGGTACCTCATAACAACCCTACAGAGACCGGGCCAACTAGGCCCCGCAGGGGATTTCAACGCAATCAGAGCACATCTGCTTGCGAATGGCCGGTTATTCATCAAACGCGCAAAAGAGAGCAGGGATAGGATAGCTGCGTTTGGCAGTGGGTTTGTGCGGGATGGAAGCACGGTGTTGACCAACGGTGGATCCAGGGTGGTCAGTGCTTTGTTGCGGAAGGCTGCGGAGGAACAGGGCGAAACAGGAACTCCTGCGGCTAGATTCCGGGTTATTTATGTGGTGTCAGTCGCACACAGCCATAATGGCAATTCATCCAGATCCGATCTGGAAGGGATGGATACTGTCACCGCGCTTAGGTCCAAGGGGATCCCGGTAGCTACGATCCCGGAGTCGGCGGTGGCATACTCACTAGGTATGGTGGATATGGTGATTGTGGGTGCGGAAGGTGTCCTTGAGAACGGCGGCATCATATCGCGCCTAGGGACGTATCAGATGGGCCTTCTAGCAAAAGCTGAGGGAAAGCCATTCTATGTCGTCGCGGAGAGCCACAAGTTTGTCAGATTGTACCCACTGGGCCAATATGACCTGCCAATCAATCAGAAGGTGATTGATTTCCAGACGGATCAAACGAGTGAGCCTTCCGGCCAAACTTCTGGCGTTCAAACCGATGAACACAGCTTCCAGTCCACTACGAAGGAAAAGACCAATCATCTCAACGCCCTACTCAACGGGAAAACGTTTGCACCGTGCGAGAACAGAAGGCCGGTAAAACGTGATGCTGTTGATTTCACTCCCCCACATCTTATCTCGGCTCTGATTACGGAAAGCGGCGTGCTAACTCCCAGCGCTGTTAGTGAGGAATTGATTAAGATATGGTTCTGAATTTATCTGGATCTGGATTTTTTTTTTCTTTTTCTATTTTCTCTGTCCAATTCCCTGCTTTAAAGCAAATGATATATGCATAATAATATATCGGGAATTTAAAAAAAAAAAGAAAAGGAAAGAAAAGAAAAGTGTTATACTCCTGTTTACAGATTTTGACACGATGTCGTGTTTCCCTTTAATGAGGAAGGATGTTTTTTTTATGGACTGCCTCGGAATGGTTAAACCTTTTGGAATCATTCCCAAGCCAACCCTTCTACGAATCAGAGCTTCGAGGTGAAAGCGCCGGCATCCATTGTTCACCTAGCATCTCCCATTTCGATGATTTGACCTTACAAAAGTCGTATACCTACGTTTTACCAGCCCAGAGCGTGAACTCTGGATATGCTATTCTCCTGCCCGGCCACTGTATGATTGCATCCTCAGAGCTACAAGCAAATGTTTCACATTCTATCACGCTGACAAAAGTGCTACTTGCAGCTGCAATGAATTGTTTTCTCATATCTAAAGATCGACACCCAAATGCAAAAAAGGAATTAAGAGAAAGAAGACAGAGAGATCTTCCAACATACCCGCCCGTGACATGAGATAATACCAAAATTATCTCCAGAAGGATAAAACTACCACACAGAAAGCTGAGGTAAAAAACAATTAAACTCTCCCCTAAGCTTCCAACGCCGCTCATAGCCATTTTTGATATGAGCGTCTCGTTCTTTACACAAATGGAGTATGACGTCATCCTCTCCTGTTGCCCCACATGCAATCGTCTATAATATATCTCCCGGGAAAGAATTCACGGGTATACTTGTCGTCTGAGGGAGGTAAAGGTTCCGTTTTTATTTTGCTAGCATCTCGTCGACGAGAAAATGCATGCTAAGGGTTTTAGCTGCAAGGAGTGGTGGGTATGTAAGGGAGGATAGCGTCTGGAGTGAATTGGTGCCAAGGGATTTGTTTCCTATGGTTATTGAATCGTAGCTGCGGCAAAAGAGGGAATTATGGAATATTCGTCTCAATTGGTGTAGAATGAGCGAGGCGCTCTGCAACGGGTCTCGTTAATGTACCATGCGAACCGTGTATATCCAAGAGTGAAAGTAGTTTTAAACTGTGTGGGTAAGCATCCGTGCCCGGTAAAATCATGGTATGCATTGGAGCATTCAGACAGGAGAAAAATGGGGCTCGTCTGCCTTCCGTACATACATTCAATAAATCCATGCCAAAATTGCTAGTGTTTTTTCATATCTCACTATACCTCACTGTTCCCTTGATGCATCATCCGTGGCGTTGGAGGTTGTAGAGATATCATCGCCGTTATCAATCCCGTTGCCATTTTGAGAAGAAAGCTCAGAGGTGACTGCTCCTCTCATTTCTGGGACATTTTCTTCCTGCAGCTCCTCCTCCTCTTCAAGAATCACGGGCAAAATTTGCACGCCGTATTGATTGTAAATGCGACCTCGCTTGCGTTTACGCCAACGCACGCCCTTTTTGGTTTTCTTGACAGATGCCTTGGCATTATCTGGGCGAACCTGCGTGACTGGGATCCCTTTTACGATGAGGAAAACAATGCAACACCACAAGATGGCAGGGCGGTAGTATTCCAGAAAAGTTTGGGAGGGGATGTCGCTAACTTGAATTTGTTGGAGGAAGAAGCTAAAGAGATCCATTGCTTGGATATGTGAATCTTCGGGCTATAATGTCAGGATAAGTATAATGATATGTAAGTGATCTTATGAGCAGCAGAAGACTCTGGATGTAGATGTGAATGAGAATATAGTGATGATATGGGTTGAATGTAGAATCTAACGAAAAAAAGTCCGTTGCCTTTCTAGGCGGCATTTTGGGTATGGTGATATGTTCTAGCGAGCGCAGGCTTGAGTGTCCTGGTTCCCAGTGCAGAAGAGTAAAAAATTGCGTCAGAAGAAGAAAGTAAACTATTATGAGAGTTGATGACAATAATAGAAAGTTTGTACAGACTGGGACAGTTCGTTTTTAGAAAGGGGAACCAAGATCTAGTTAACCAAAGCTTCATTTCATCCGAATTCAAACGATAGTGGGATAGATATTTCATGTTGTAAACATGAGGATAAATAAAAGAGAAATAGAGAAAGAGTTCTGGGGACTGTAGGAGCTATGCCAAATCCTATCTGATTCCCACTTTCTTTGCGGAGAGCTTTTCTCCACCCCTAGCTTGTGTAGGGAAACTAAACCCCTGAATATTTTGCTCTCACAAATGCAGCGCAAACGTTTTTGGAGATTGTCGACCAGTAGCCAGCTTACCAACGAGAAGCTGAGAGCATGTTTTGACATCAGGTTATGCATATCGAAAACCACCCACGGGTCAGTTGATTGATTCCAGGTTTCCCGATTAAAAGTTCGACGTTAGAAGCGGATTAGTTAAATGGTCCGTGTCAGGAGGTAGTTAACTTTATTTCAGCCTCGTGCGGGAATGACGTCAAATTAGCCTCCTCCAATTTAGCCGCTCATTAAACGTTGGACAGCCTCACAACTTGAACGTGTCGGGGCGGAGAGGATATACCGCAGCCAAAAGTTGTCAACATCCAGGAACAATTTGTATATGTACGCTAAGTTGATATGAGCGGACTCTGTTGCCGCAAGCCTTAGTTTGGTTAATACTGGCTCGTCGTCTTCATTAATAGGTAGCTGATGACGTAGGTATAGGCAAGTGTATCACAGGTGATGCAAGAATGTACAAATTTCGAGTAATGTAGTCTAAAGAGCTGTGATTATCTATCTGCACTTTTTGTATAGCTATTTCAGTTCCTAATATGTTTCTTGTTAATATGTGCAACGAAGTTTCATAATAAATAAATAAATAATAAAATAAAATCAGATATGAACAATAACTACCAACACCATTAAATCTAAAAATAAGTAAAAATAAAAATCTGTGCATACAGGAATATATTTACTCATCATTGGAATTCCCCAAACTCCCCACTACCATCATCATCACTGAACCCCTGAACCACCTTCTTCTCTTCCATGTTCAACATAGATTGTGGCCTCCGTCTTCGATTACCCCGTGCACTGGATGGAAGGGGCGCGATCATCGAGAACCCTGAAGAGGAATCATCCTCTACTCTTGACACCGGCGACGGAGGCGGCGGGATAGAAAACAGCGCCGTCTGTTCCTCCTCAGCAGCCGTAGCAGGATTGGAAACCTGATCTTTAGACGTAGCCAAAGCCTTCTTCCCGCCAATATTAATACTAATTGTCTGCCCAGGTTTCAGACTGTAATCCTTTGGTGGCTGTGCTGGGCTGCCTGACCTAGACCTTTGTGATGCCCCCAGCCCAGCACCGATCCTCCCTTTCACCCCAGCCCCACCTCTCGCGGCCTCTCTACCTGGCTCCGATAAAGTCGTCTGCCCACCCTGTGAAAACCCCAACACCTTCCTCGCCTCCTGCAGTGTGACGCCAAAATCAAACGCATCGCTCCTATCTTCAAATCCAATACCCAATATCGCCTTCCGCCCATCGCCCACAACACATAAAGCGAAGAAGCGCGAAGAATCAATCGCATGCTCGACAGCGGCTGGATCCGTGTATGGTGCCGCTGCGAATAGGTTGCCGGTATTTGGGTCTTCGAGTAGGATATCCGTCTTTACTTTTACTTGCATACCTGCTGCTGTCGCTCCCGGCTGGGATTGGGATTGGGATTGGGATTGGCATTGCGCAGCTGGCGGAGGGGGTATTGCGGTTTCAAGGACGCGTAGTCGGGCTGTGAAAATTTGGCGGGTTTTGTTGTTGTTTTTCGGGTCTGGAACGGTCCAGTCGGCAGCTGTGTAGCCCTTCATTGAGGTTAAGGGTGGTATCGCGTAGACGTGTACTGGGTTACAGACGAAAAGGACTCGTTGAATAGCGTCGATGGGCAGCGTTTGTCCCGATGCGGGATCGATTGGGCCCGACATGCTGTTTGGTGTTGTAGGAGGTTTTGTTGATGAGTATTTTAACTGTAATTGCTCTGGGAGTTGAGGGGTGAAATATCGCAGTTGGAGAATAGAATTGCACGAGTTAATAACTTAAAATCTGCTGTTGTGCCATGATATTATGTTCTAGCAATGCTCGTACTTCTGGAGTCCGCCATGTTTGATGATGCGGCGATCGATATGGCGGGGTAACAATCATACGGAACTTTACGCTCTTTTTAGGGTTTTCAAATACATCTCAATACTTAATCTTACGCTAAACGCGCAATGATCCACGGATACGACCAGCCAATCAGGTGACATCAAACCCCTATGTTTGATGAATTTTACTCCATATGTATAGTCCACACCCTCAAATTCTTTGTTAAATCGTTTAGCAGTTTTGAATAGGACTGGATGGAACACCACACCAGAGTGGTGGTTATCCTCGAACTAGTTGGTGTATTTTCTGTTGTTTTCCCGTGTTCTTGCGCCTCCGTGAAACGCACGTCGCTTTTTTGTTTCCCGTTGTAGCATCTCCTGTCAGCAAACCTTGTCTGTCGCAGGTACGGTCCTGGCTGGGATATAAACAATCCTCGAAGTGGCCCCTGTGTAGGGACAAATTTTAACTACAGCGCATATATATACCGAATCATGTGGTATGACATCAGAACGCCTCAGCCACGCTGCGTCGCTGCGCCGATGCGCGAATATTCAAGACATCATCCAGAGGCTGTCCAAAGCGTCCTACTTTGTACAGTACTCTGCAATTACATGTTCTCATTCCCTTACTCTGCTTCGTTCAGCAGCGGCAGTTTTTGCAATATAACATGAAACTCTTGTGACATTCACCTGTGATCTGACGGATGTCAATCCCCCAAAAGCCAACAGGCATTCTACTGGTACATGTTTCTACACATGTTCCTCCAACAGTTCGTATCCAGCTTCTTCTGATAACTGTCCAACGCGCCAAGCATCGGCAAAGTTTGATAAATGGGATACGTAATACGCTTGTTGTTACCAAGAGGGCTAACTATAGGAGGTGAGATATAAACGATCAAGCCAAAGCTCTGCTAGTTTTATTAGCGGCTGAAACGCGAACGCCGTTATTCCATTCAACAGAGGCCGTTGGTCTGATCAGCCTAGAGTATAATGGATAAGTTGAATGTCTTGCATCGTCAGCTTTGCAATCGAGTTCCTGTTTAAAAAGAGTATGGATAGATGGAATATAAGGCGTGCGTTTACCGTATGTTTTGGACTACGGAGAGATGACTCTTAACAACCGATTGTCGAAAGGGACGATTCGGCTAGCTCGGGGCAATGACTGAGATATAATGAGCTGCAATCTGTCATCAAGGAACTCAAGTGAGAATATGTCAAAGATGTTCGACATTCAGGGGGCAACCAACACCAAGTCCTGAAGGTAACAATTTTGAAGGAAGTGCAAAACAAAAAGTGATGTATTGAACGAACTGGTGCCGCTGAAGAAAGGACCCGATGGGATGAGAGGTAAGACCAAGCAACCTGTTATTCGGAGGGACGGAATCCTCGTCCAGCTTTATGGCTGCGCGTCACTATTGATATTGGGAGAAACAGCAAAGTAGAGTTCGTTGACTGTGGGAATTCAAATCTCCTCCATCCTTTCCTTGGCCTAGCATAACCTTATGCTCGCTGGAACGGCGGTGACTTTTTATCTAAATTTGTTCAGCCCTAATACGGTGGGGGGGGGTTGATCGGGAAAGATCTCAGACTTGGCCCATTCAGGCAAAACTATAAGACGCGCTGGGCCGACAGACAAACAGAGTTTCAACCCAGTGTCCAATAGCAATGCGGACAGACCAAGGGCGTTGGCAGATGTCTCAAGTCCAACAACCCAACTGCCCCAACCCTTAAACCCACTGCTTGCGATGTTACCCCATACCCATATACGTCAGTAGTTAGTGGCAAGAGTTGGTAAGTGGGAAGGGGGTGGATCCCGCTGCCAACCTGCCAACCTGCCGCCCTGGCCTGCAGATGACAAAGACAACTGTCTCATGTTTCTCAAACCTGTGCTGTTTCTGTTCCTGGCAGATAGCCTTTTACGGAGAAGTCCCTACAGTAAGCTTGGGCAGGAATCTACTACGTCGGAACCTGGAATCGAAGAAGTGTGACTGGCACTGGCTGGCACTTGGCTGGCATTGAGCCGACTGCCACAAATACAAGGTACAAATTATGCCCAGAAATGTGGCACTCCCCATATCCCAGCGTAATTAATGGTGTGAGAGCCCTTGCAGCGTTCACGGGTCCATTCGCACCCCGGGCGGTGGTGGCGGGCAGTTCGACCGGTTATGGCGGGTGTGACGGGTTTTGACGGGTTTGACGTGTTTGACTGGTTTGGCAGTTGGGGGCGCGCCTTCCCAACACCCCTGGCCGTTGGTGGCAAGTTGTGTTAGAATGACTAATCCAGTCCTTTGCCATAAACTCGCATCTCGCATCGCTTCCTGATGCGGACAAGCGGCTGCAAGCGAAACTAAACTTCAACCTCGTCTCTTGTTTTTTCCTTCCATCACCCACTCCATCAACAAACCCATTGCCTTCATCTGCTCACTGACTCTAGCCCTGTCTGCGGGTCTCTAACATCTTTCCTCTCTTCTTTTCCATCATTTTCATGTATGACATAATTTTTTATGTTTTATGTTTTATTTTTATTTTCTATTGACTCCTCCATTTCACTTATGTCCTCTCCCAGGATACTCCGT